GTGTTATGATGTATCAAAGTGAGACATACACATATGGTCTTTATTGTGTTTGTTATGGTGAATAAAATGATTATGCTGATGAGTGTAGAAACTCCATGATTTAGGTAATGATATAAAAGATGATGATGCTAATAATATGACAAAGAAGATGATGGAATGATGATGGTGGAGATGAAGATGATGGAATGATGATGGTGGAGATGATGAGGAAGATATTAGAGATGATGGAGAAGATGATAATGACGCATGCATGTTTCTCAATGAGTAACGCTTATCAAAATGCAAGTATTGGAACACCAGGCATAAATGTCCATGACCATAGAAAAATTATGCCAGAGGTCATGACCTCTATAGCAAACACAGTCCAGATAATGGTCAACTTCATTCATTTCCTCAAGGAAATGTTCCGACATTGTGAGACGGCAGAAATGTGGATCTGTGGAAGGAATATGGACTTATTTCTTGAAGTGTCACCACAGGTCTACTCTTGGGTAAAAAACATCTTTAGATCACTAGCAACAAATTGAAACGTGTATAACCATTTGCTTAATTTTCTTTATTAAAATTGACAGTATTGGGTATTGGAACGGCACGAGGGGAGAAGACGCAGAACGTCTGGGCCAAGGTTTTTGCATGTCCCTATTTAGATTTTGTAATTTTTTTACTTGCTTCTTGTTAGCTAAATGACCTGAGACAAATTAAAATATTATTTTAATCTTTTAGCCAATCAGCAACATGCTGGAGTCTAATTTAATCTTATGGAGTTGATCCTAAGCGTATAGGATATGTCAACAGTGTATGGCTGGCCATCGGGTCCACCGATACGTTTGACGTAAGCCTTACGAACTTGATAAAGTTTGAGATATAGATTCATAATGGTTTGTGTCATTTTCATTCATTTTTTTTCCCCGTACACTGTGTGTAGACCTCATGATGTTATCCCTCATCCTCCTTCCACCCACACACCTTGGAGGTAGAAATGTTATTAGAACCATAATTATAAATCTTTTTTTACATACTATTCTATGCTTATTTTATAAAAACATTCTCTGTTATGTATTTTCCACTTTGTTAATATTTAACTGACATAAACATTTGATGTTATTTGTATTTTTGGACTAAAAAGTCATGCACTGTAAATGCTTAATTCCCCGCACTTCCACTCCTTAAAATGCAACTACATCCACCAATTTACGAGTTCTATTAATACTATACTGTAGTGCATTAACCAATATGGTACTGACTATCAATCAAACATACAAAGTCAATGACTTTTGGGTGGAGAGAGATATCTATAAAGTACAGTACTTTGTTTATATGGAGTGCAACGGCAGCCTGGTGGTTAAGATGCTTGTCTTTCAATCGATCCCAGGGTTCTCAGTTCAAACCCCTCCAAAATAAAATAAAATCCAATGAGAACCCTGCAAACTCAAACTGAAGAGTCAGAACCAGACCTGGTGTATGTGTGTCTCAATTAGATTAGGGAGCTTTTGATTTGTATGTCACGTAATAACATCAGGCTAAAAAAAACCCCCCAAATTCTAGGAAATTAAGGGTCGGCATTTTAGTATTTTTTTGGACAACGAAAAATATTTTTTTATGAGCAAATAAGGCTGCAATAGCCTTGGCAAGGCTAAGGCAGGTGCGGATCCAAGGAGGGGCCCCCCACCTGGCTCGGGGCCCCCCATTTGGAAAGGGGATCCGCACCTGTAAGGGGCCAAGGCTAGCCTATTTTGCTGGATGCTACGCGATGCGAATCCAAAATTGTTGTATTAATTGTTTATTTTCTACTTTTTATGCATAAACACATATTTGGTTGTAAATTTTGGCAACTCCTCTCCAGCGAGAAAATGAAAACTGTAAAATCATGTTGGATTTATTACATTGTCAAGTAGTTTTAGTTTAATACTGTCAATGACCAAATTACAACATCGTGAAAGAAACAGAGAAAATTTTGCCAATTAATCCCAAACGAAGTGGTTTGGTGCAGCGGGAACAGTTTGGTCTCCCAACCACGAATTAAAATGATTGATTCACTCAGAAACCTTTGTCTAAATGTCACTAACATAAATTAAAGACATTCTAATGTAATTCAGATCAGAAGAAATTCTTGATTTCAGTAAGCAAGAAGGAAATACCTGCGGAAAATTACATATTTTAAAATAATTGATGTATGCATATCATACAGTATACCTTATGCAAATATACCTTATAACATGTATTACTAAGCCTTATCCAAATAATATTTGACAAAAACATGTGACATGCCTAAATATGGTCATGATGACATCACATCATGACCATATATAGGCACATCATGACTATATATGGGCATAATACAGTTTTTTTGTCAAAGAAAATTTGAAAGTGTGGGCAAAGCTTCATTTAGCAAAGCAATCAATAGGCCTAGATCCGAAAACATGATGTATTAGATTAAACGTGTACATTGTATTAAATTTTGCAATTTGGTAAAGTCATTTTAATTTAAAATAACCTATTTCTGGGAAAATTTACTACTAAAAAGTGTACGCTGGATTAAATTTTGCAATTTGATAAAATCATTTTAATTTAAAATAACCTATTTCTGGGAAAATGAATAATTAATACCCGGCGAAAATCTACAATTAAATCGATGAAATTTCAATTACAAATACGTAATACTATTAATTTTATATCATTATAATTATTATTATAGTTATTTTTTTCATTTATTTCATCCAATTATTCTTTATGTTTGACATACGTTAATATTTTCTCATATCATAATTTTTCTATTCATAGAAAATTATTTCATTTATTATTAAAAAGTTTATCTAAAATTAGTAATTTGTCAAAAATAAGTTTTATATATTATTTATAGCATAGAAAACAATTTTAAACTCCATCTCTAGTTAATCATATTTATTTATTTCATGAAAAATCAGAAAAGTCTTACAAAAATAAAATATTAAAACACAAGCAATAAAGAAATCACACAAAAAAATTATATAGAAATAATATTTGATATAGAAACATGGTTTAGTATTTCTAATGCTTTACTATATGTGGTAATAAAACATGAAAATACCCTTAAAATTACTTAAAAAAATGAATTTCTCATTTCAAATAAAGAAAAAATGTTATTATCAGAGACATAAAATGTTAATAAAAAGTTAGTTTCCATTGATTTAGTTTTTTTACTAGTTTTTAAAAAATGACTATACCAGCTAATCTAAGGATTTAAAAAACCACACAGTGTTTGCAAATGTTAAAAATTATATAAAGTAGAGCCTTGGAACATGATCATTTGATAAACAATACCTTTATTATCATAGGTCAAATTTTTAAGCGAGTGTTTGTGTATTACAAAAATGCATTCGTTTCCTTTCTAGAATATGTTATCACGATACAAGAAGCTGCACTGCTTTTGTAATTATCACGTTAAAGGCAACTATCACAAATCAACTGGTTGGTACACATAGGCCCTTGAACAAAGAATTTTAATCTACATTTAGGCTAAAGGATGCCATTGCTAAGAAAAAATATCTTACTGGTTGGTATAAGAAATGTCCATAAAAACTTTTCTCCTTGGTGACTGAAAGACGTAGATTCATAACAAACTGTACTATGAGGCCTGCCCTATTCAATGTTAATGTATAGATGACGAGAATACGCATTATACATTGACCTTAACCAGACAATGAACCTAACATCTATATATAACCTTTTTACGAAACAATGCTACTTAGCCGCAAGCGATTTTTAACTATTGAGTTGTGACGATGATGGAGATGAGCGTTTTTAACATGTGATCATTGAATATTATTGAATTGTTACGTTTTTCATATTTTCAGTGTACCTTAAATATGATTAATTATAACAGGCAGTCAACTTCTAAAAATAAGCAACTAGTTTGAATTTAGAATAGAAACAAAAAAAAAAATATCTGTGCAAACACATACTTGTACTGATGTACTTACAATGGAATGAATGCGACCATAGAGGCAATAGAGCGAGGTATATAACCATATCACCAATGGCGGGGTACGACTTGAACACGGAAATCAATATAAGCTGTACCAACATCACAAAGACGGGATGGTTTCTAAAAATGAGAAATACACAATCGTTAGTAATAAAAAAATAAGGTTTATTTAATTATTTAAGTATTTATTTTCAACAAAAAATAATTCATTCATCTCTTCATTTATGCATTCCCTCCTTTCTTCCTTTCATTCATTCATTTGTTTGTTCATTTATTTATTTGTTCATTCATTCTTTCCTTTTTTCCTCTCTTCATTCAACCATTCATTCATTTCTTCACTCATTGTTTAATTCCTTCATTCAACCATTTATTCATTCATTCATTAACTTCTTCATTCATTTATTCCTTCCTTTTTTCATTCTTTTCTCCCTTCATTCCTTCATGCATCCATCCATTCCTTCATTCAAACATTCATTCATATCTTCACTCATTCATTCCTTCTTTCATTTATTCTGAGTAATTTTGTCAGCTTAAGGATGAAAATCTTAAGTACCTCTTTTCAAAGTTATAAATGTTGTTAGATAATAATCAATCATCTTTCTAAATGAATCCTGGATTCTCTTTGTTTTACAATACAATTCTAGAGTACCTCAGAAAAATGAAGACTGAATTTACATAGAAGAGAAATCTTTATATATCCAAAGGCAAAAACGTAATAAAAAACAATTACTTTATGCTGCATTGTAAACGAAGCTTTGCACCCATTGGCTGGAACATCAATCTCATTTACATATATACATCATTTGAATTCTTATTTTGAAAGCAAATAAATTAAACTATATATCTTCTTTAAATCATGTTTTGAATATTTTTTAGATTTTTATAAGTTTTCTGAAATGTCTATTGTATATAAATCATAAATTAATTCATGCATGTTAAAAAAGACAGACTCACAGAAAATGACAAATAGACAATCCACCACTGAATGAACAGTAAAAAATTACTCTCCTTATATAAGTTATTACATTAACAATGAAAATAAATAATGTAACATAAATTAGAGTTATCAGAGCTATTGTACACAATATGGGGTTTATGGGAAACAGTGGGAAGATGATTGTGAGATGATGATAAAAATAAATGATGATGAGGGTGATGCGATGATAATAACGATGCTTATGATGATTACAATGATGATGATGACGATGATTATGATTTATAAGGATGGGTGTAATTGTAATGATGATTGATATGATGATAAGTCAATGATGATAACAATGATGATTACAACGGTGAAGATGATGATGATGAGGATAATGACAATGATGATGTGCTGATAATGACGATGATGATGAATATGATGATAACGGGTGATGAAGATGAAGATATGATGAAAAAACATAATACAGTAATTGGTAACATGCCTAATGATGAGAATGATGCTGATGACTGATGGTAATGCAGATGATGTTGATACTGATAAAGATGATAATGATAGTCATAGCACTATAAATGTAATAAAAAATAAAAAATTATATTATATTTATTAATACAAAACATGCTGCTGCCTCATTTGCTAAATAATCACATTAAAAATCAAATTATTGTCAGTTCTTTGGCCTCAAAACCATCTTCAAGTTCATTTCTCCAATTAGGAACCATCTTTCGGAAACTCTTCCACAGTTGACTGAGCATTAAGGAGTTAAAATGTACCAGGAATTCCGTTTGCTGGAAGTCAATCAACTGCTAATCACCTAGGAAGTATGTAAACCACCGAGATGAAGCACAATTACTGGTACTTCGCCGAGGAAAGCTTCCTTCAGGAGTATTACAAAGGTATAAAGTGTCCACTCGGTAAGCCAGCGACCTGGAATGACCTTCTGACCTCGACTTTGTTTGCAACTCCCACATCCTCCCATAAATATAACAATGGTAACTCACCTCGGAAAGAATATGGATTCCAAAAAAAAAAAAAAAAAAAAAAAAAATACTGGCATTAACGCCCCGGATAAGTAGGCAGCCTATATCATCCGGATCTAAATTAAAAACTAGACATTCTATTTTCATAATCAATTACTTAATTTCCAGCCTGTCTGGAAAATATCTACTTAAGATTTTGACTTTTTATTACTAAATATATAGACTAATATATAACAAAAAAAAAGAATGCTAAGCTAAACTAGATCATAAAACCTAATTTGAAACAAACACAGTATGTTCAGAAGGTCGTAAAACATCTTAGAAGGTCAAAGGGCAATATGATACAAAGAATATTTATTATACGATAACATAAAATTAAACGTAGCTGTTTATAGTATGCAGGGCATACGATCAGCTAAACTCATTTGAAATTTTGTATCACATTTACAAATCGAACACATCATATTACATCATAAGTAATATATACTGGTACATGCTGGCAAAGGTTAGCCCAAGCGATTGCGAATAAAATGTATTAGATATGATGACAATTCTTTTAAAAGAATCATATATAAGAAACAAATTGGAGGTATGAGTAAACATAAAATTAAATTAAAATATATAGATTACAGTAAATATTATGATTATCATTATGAATTGAAAAAATCTTAATAAATTATAATCTTGATTGTCAGATTAATGAGCTAAATTTAAGATTAAGATCATATTTTTATTGAAGTATTTTATTGTTGCTATTATTAGATTAAAGACGACTTTCAGGACTGGGGTTTTCATGATCTTTGATTAGAAAAATTATAATAAAAAGAGATAGACGCTCATTTTGGGCCGTAGAAATGTGGTCTTTAATTGGATTATAATTATTATTGATAATACAGGTCTCCCTCCAATGAAAGACCCCTCCAATTAAAGACCACTTTTTCTGTGGTCGCAAATTAACAAATTTCTTTTATTTTTATTATTCTAATTAGAGACCAAAGCTGCTAAAGACCATGAAAACTCTGGTACTGAAAATGGTCTTTAATTAGAGGGAGACCTGTAGTCATTATTGGAGCTACTTTTAGTAATACCAGGATTTGAACCCAGGACCTTTGAATTTAAAGCATATTAACCACCAAGCTAAAGCACCATTCCTAATCTGATGTTCACACATGTACATAACAGATAATTCCGCAACCAAACTCTTTGCAGCGGCTGAGTTGGGAAGATGAGGCTGAATATTGACCTAGAAGCAAAAACTATAATAACCAAACCAAGGACAGGGGAACTCCTTAGAGTAAACCGCCAATGATGTTTAGGTTAGTGGAAAAGACATGGTGAACACCATTTTAAAGACTTTTACACACCATTCCCATATTGTTTTACAGTATTTATGCTTACATTGGCCCATTAAATCTTTATGGCCTATTGTTTTATCTTAATGATGCTATTTATCTGAAGTTCAAACTCAGTACATTATTTTTCCTGTATATAAGAGACTGCCATTATCCTGTTTGTATAGTCGTTTAAAGTAGTTCACATAGTAAATGAAAGCTCTTTTGGAGGTATGATAATCAGTAAAATAATGGACACCTGTATTTTGCTGTGTATGTCTACAATGGAATATATACAGTAGCTTGTGGGAGAGGCACATGACCCCAAGAAAGCATGCACTCTCACCCTCCTAAATGCCACCTTAGAAATTTGCTTGGCAAAAGAAATAACGCTCAAGTAGTTAAAAATCACCTTATTTATTATCATTCTCACTTAATCATCAAGGGGCCCCCTTCCATTTACACTATTCCATATTTTTTTACAGTCTTTAAACTTATAAAGTTATATAGAATATAAAGAGGAATATATGACATGCACAATGTAATTACCTAAATTTTATCGACAGAGGCACTGTATAGATAAAAGCATTGATTTGAAAAACCCATACAAAGAAAATGCGAAAGTGCTCGAACATTTCAATTAAAAAGTACCAGAAAAGGCCCAGATTTGGCTGCAGGTTTCCGACTGATAAACTGAAAATAGAACCATAAAAATATATGTTAGTAATTGTTGAAAAAATCAGGTTAACGACAAAAAAAAGTTGTACAATATATTATGTGGACATGACAATTAAATTTGATGGGAGGGAAAAAAAATCTTTGTCTTCAGTTCTATTGATAGGATCAAAAGGAGGAGTAACAAAATTAGGCTGGTGAAAGAGCTAAGTCTCATCTTTTGAAGTTCCACCTTCCTCCGACACAAACAACCAAAGTTCCAAATTAAAAAAAAAATTATATAAAAAACAAAACTACATTTTAAATAAAACAAGTACAAAATTAAAATTTTTGATCCAAATAATACGCAACTTGACAAATGATGCTACGGTTCAGTGAACATGGAACAAATCCAACAACTTTAAATGTGGCTATAGATGCCTAACACCTTCACATGACCTTTGACACTGTGAACAAATAGTAATGAACCTGAAAAAAAATGCCATGCTTATAGAAACTGCTTGTACAAAGATATGAAATGATAACACTACTTACATGAAGCCATATGTAGAAAATAGGAAATCCCAGGTACCTAGGAGATGGTAGGAGAGGCAGAGTAAAAAGCTGGCCCAGAATAGGAAAGACAGACCAGTTCTTAAACAGGACTTCCAAAACATGCCATCGCCAAAGGAAATAGTTACATCTTTCTGCTATGTAAACGAAAAAAAAAAAAGAATGTTAAATTTTTGAAAATGGTATTATAATTTAGAGACAATGTACATTTAACAAAATTATTTACATGATGAGCTAAAATTTCACATTTATTCCTAACATCTATTTTAAGAAATTATTTGAAAAAGCTGATGAAAAAAGTAACAAATATAATGGAGAAATAAATTATTATTGGAAATTCAGTTCAGGTAAAATCTCGATAATTCAGGTAGAATCCTTTTTTTTTTCACTTGCTTGGTAGCGAGTTTCATAGAACTCATGAATATTTATAAGTTTAATCCATTCCATGTATGTGCAGATACGCACAATTAAGCAACGTTTCCCTAGGCTATGGTGAAAATACCAATATGAATGCGGGTCAATCTCATCTTTAAAAAAAATATGAGACAATTTTAGTGAAATATGACCATTCTAAAGAAAAGATGTGTTGATTTCATGTAATAACTATTTTTTAAATTATATTTTCTCCTAGAGTTATCAAATACAAGCCAAATTCAGTAAATTTGGAATGCTTCTTATGAAGCTAAGATTTGGAACTTTAGATATACTACAGAAATCTATTTTTCAGACTTAAAGAATGCTGGTTATGAGAAAAATGATTCTAAACATGATTGAACCCAGAATGTTAGGATTAGAATTACAGGTTGGGCACTTAACCATTATTCCACAGTCCCCCTACAATATCGGTAATTAATAAGCAAATGGCAAAGATTATTATTTGCAAATGCTAAATTTTAAACAATATTAAACAATTGCACAATAGAGAAAACTTAAAAAAGAACAGGGAAAAATCAGAATAAGAAACAAAGCAATCAACAATAATCAATCAAGCAGTAACAACAACCGCAAAAACATTTTCTAGTAACAATTTTTTCAATAAATGATTTCCTGTGGTAGTAGTAACGGAGCTCTTTTAAAAACCTGGATTCTTATCAGGCATAGAATTATTTTTGGCACGGAATCAATTTCTGTGTCCAGGAGGCTAAGAAGGATTTCTTGTGGCAAAGTTTTATTAGTTCTTACCTTGGTAATCTGATTACCAGCTAATAATGATAAGTGAACCGATTATATCTCGATTTTCAGTCATAGAAAACACACCCATCGAAAAAAGAACAGCAATAAGTAATGTAATGTAAAATACAATGGCATTTATCAATGAACAAATGAAGGACTGAACACATGAATGAATAAACAAATACATGTGTAGGCCTATTATTATTGAGGAGAACTTGTCATGAGATGGTGTGATGGTGATAAAATGTTTATGCAATTAATTTGAAGGCTAACACTAAATACAGTGACCCAAACTGTGTTGGTAATTATGTATGAATGGTTAAGGGCTAACTTGGTTGTTAAAAAAATTGCTCCTTGGTATTCTGATGTTCAAGTATATTTTAATATTTTTTAAGTGTACTGTAAATTTAAGATACAGTTTATTTTAACACTGGGATTAGATGCATTTCAGGTAGTCTCCCAATGGCGGATCCAGGAAATTATAGTAGAGGGGCCCGGTGAGGGACTTTCAAAGATAGGAGGGTCAACCCACATCAGCCCCACCATGGTTGGGGTTGAGGTAAGTAATTTTGAGATTATGGAAACTCCAGATGGTTGAAAATTACATTGTAAAACTTAATTTCAAATACAATTTGCTTTTTTTCTCCATTATTCTTTTCTTATTGCAAACAAATTAGAGGGGAAGGGGGACCAGGCCAGTTTCCCCTCCCCCTGCCATGTATCTCCCTGTGTCCACACAGTTTTTTTCAGACTGGCATGAGATGGCATTGTGTACACGATCTGACCTGACAGCACTTTATAAAAAACGACATATTCACAGTGTTAGTGCAGCTAATTGGTATCGTAATGTTACCATGATATTTTAAGTACTATAGATGAGAGATTTTTTGGTAACAATGTCTACAAACATCATAAATAATATACATATATCTTGTAACATAGGCATTATAATAATGCGTGAGATTTTTTTCCTTAAGCATGGGAGCATGGGACAGACCCCTAATGCATGTCTCGCGCTGTATACGTGAGGCTTGGTATGTATGCTCCTGTATTAAAATATTGTTTTGAATTCTATTACAATTTGTTATGAATTTTGAACACAATAATTCTCAGCGAGTAAAGCAGTTATCAAGCAGAACTCAAATTACACCGCTGCACATTGAAACGTTCAACGGTTTTGAAACTGGTCATATAAATGACATCACACCCCACGAATCTAAATACATGACTAGGAGTAAACTGAAGTCTAGGTGCTTATCTATTTAGTACTATTATTTTCTGTGTAGTGGTGTGTAAATGGTCTACCACTGCAAAACAACTGACTACTAAGATATGGCTAGTGAATGAAGAAGTATGTTATACGCAAACTTCAACACATGGTTTGCGAAACCAGTCTAGTGAAAATCGACAGTAAAGTGTCATTATTTTTCCCTTAATTAATCTGAAATATGGTTTGATATTCACTTTGCATGATGGACAAAATTGATGATCTAGTTTGGAATCCTATTGTGTCCGTAGGTTTTGAAATTAGTGTAATTATAATATATATGAATGCCATAATAGCTTTTGGAGTTTTTTTTTTCCTTTAAGACAATATACATTTTATATTTTGATTATATATTTTATATTTTAAAATTTTAAATGCCTAAATTTCGAAAACTTGCCATGTTTTGTGATTTCAGTATTAGTTTCTTGTACGTTTAATGTTTTAACTGTATTTTTTATATTTGTGGAAAGTGCAAAGTTTTTAAAGTATTTCAACGGTTTTACAACTCAGAAAGGCAAATTTCATACATATTTGTATGTATGACGATGAAATAAATCTTTTATATACTTCATAGGTTAACTACATTGTTCATATGAAAATTGTCATATTATTTTTATCATAAATAGGAACATTTATTAAAAATTATGAAATATCAGAATTTGACAGTGACAGAAATTTATTATGTGTATGAAAAATAAAGCATTAGATATAATTTACAAATTTTTTATTCTGCCATTTGATTTTGCGGCACAAATGCCAGATGTGAACATGAGATTGAATAATAGATATTAATATTAATGTTTCACTAAGAATTCATAATAATTATGCTGATACAAGACCAAGTTATTCATGAAATTGCTGTTAGCATTAAAATTACAATCACATTTGCCGAGTACGAAAAGTACAATGCGAGACAAAGTATAATTAAATTTTCCTCAGTGAAATCTATTCTATCTATTTATAGATCATTAATTTATGAATTGGCATTAGGACACAGACTTTGGAAGGGGAGAGGACAAAGAATAGTGAGGGAAGGGGGGTGATGGTGAAGGAAAGGGCTGGTATAATTATAGAGTTGTAGATTTGATTGAATTTGTCCCTTAAATGATGTTTTACAATGGCATAAAAAAAAAAAAAAAAAATTATTAAGACAAAGAATCACATATTTATGAGAAGGGAACAAATGAGAGCATGGGGGTTCACATAACTTGATGAATCGAGTTGTTCTGATTTAATTTTAGAATTCATCAAATGCTGTTTACTTGATGAATAGAGTTGTTATTATTCAATTTTAGAATTCATCAGATGCTGCATTACCACAAAATACATAGAGAAGGGTAGAATCATCACAAATATTTTGAGGTTTGAGGTATATATTAAGTCACCAAGCCTTCTAGATTAAAAAAACATTGAATTATGTTGAAACCAGCATTTAATGGATGAATTAAATTAGGCAGCATAGGACATCAAGTTAAACATTACAAATATCAAATAGATAGTTAACTTATAAAGGACAAACACAATACCTCTTGTCTGGCTATGTGAATTGCACATGGTATGATCAGCATTACAGGGTAGAGAGACTGGTAGGCAGCTAGGGCGATTGCTAAAGTAGCACCTGCACGTCGACCTAAAACAAAAAACAAAAAAATCATAAAAGCCGTTCTCTATCACTGGATCCGATTAAATTTCTTTGATGTTAAACACAGAAAGGATGCCACAGGAAGTCTGAAGACTTATTTCCAGTGGGGTCCTTATGAATTGGGCAGTACACCAGCAGACAATCTCTACTCACTTCAAAAGAATGCACCATATTCTTTAACGTGCACCAGGAGTGCTATATTATACGGGACCAACAGATGGCGCAGTTATCAAAACTTGCGTTTCAGCTTTCCAGCTGAAACAGGACCAAGGTTACGTAAAGGATCACCACGATTAAGCGCACACACAGCAGGGGTCAGCTCTCCCGATGGATGGCCCTGGCCCTACCATCCCTCTCCCACGTGTGCCACCCCGACACACAGTAGCTACCACAAGTGTAGCCTGCTGATCAAAGGTGCACTGTATCTCTATCGTAATCTTTTCGTTTTAATTTTTTTAAATTACTCTTTTTTTTTACTGTAAAGACTGCTTTCAAAACAAGTTTGATAGAAATTTAGAAAATCATTTTCTTATAATATCATTTTTTAATGATATGGTGTAAAATGATATGTGCTAAGTGAGTAGAAATAACATTGTGTGTACCAATTAAATTGCGAGACGGCAAGTGGTTGAATTGTAGGCCTCAATACATTATTAATGGTGTGTGTATATTTCTAATCAAGTACGGTACATAATGTATGTTGTGAGAAGGTGTTTATATATATTCTCATCGGTTTCGATTACCATTTTCCATCAGAATAATATTCCCATTAACAAAGTGGAAGCAGTTAATGCAGCAAGTTGTAGATTTTGGACCTTCAGTTTGGGGTCCAAATCACAAACTATATATCTATCTATATCTATATTTGGTTAATCTCACAAACTGTATATATATATATACATATACACATCTAGATGTGTAATAGTACTCTATAATATATAATGTCTGTCTCTTATACACATCTAGATGTGTATAAGAATAAAGGACACAAAAATACATTTTGTAGCATAGCTCTCAACGAATGTAGTCCTATAAATTATTGAATAAAGGAATTTGATGATTTATATATAATTTAACACTGTTTATGGTAATCTTGATATATATTATATGCAATTATTTGTCTCTAGCCACCTATTGTGTATAGAGTGTATCTGGTGGTATGTGAATACAACTATACACATGTAATAACATTTTTATGCCTTTTGCATATACCTTTGTTTATTTTTTTTTGTACTGTAATCTTTTCGTACTTTAGATATTTTATATAGTATATGTAATTTATTTTTGATGTTTTTCATGAATTATAAATTGTAAATTCAACAATGTTTACCTTGATGCAAATAAAGAGATTTGATTGACTGATCGTTACTGTTTCAATCGCAATGACAATGTCACAACAGATCAGATCCACTGTGATCCCTGTGCATGCTCCGCACAATTACAGTCTTCTTCCTATCGTGCCAATGCGTGGTGGATGTACAATTGGCGTTAATCAAGGCCGTGGCGAGAAGGCTAATGTATGGTCAAAGCAAACCTATCCCAGAATTCAGAGGACAATGAGGTACCTTTGCATGCACTTAGATGACTCTATGAGATGCCATTATGTCATAGACTGTTTCTTCATAATCGAAAGATTCATAATATTTCTTTGTCTTTCAAACATTATTACTACCAGTATCAATATTTTTTATTTTTACAATATGTGTTCATTTACTAGTTATTATTATATAGCTTTATCCCAATGGCTCCATGAACTAAGATGTGTAGTGGTGGAGCCTGTGTGGGGGCCGGGCCCAAGGCTCCTGTTGGGAAGAGTGGGCCCACTGGCCAGAGAGCTCATCACAAATTTAAAAAGATTAATAGTCTAAAATTGATGATATAAACTTTTCAAATCACTAAATTGTCTGAGCTTTGGGCTTCGTACCCCTAACCTTGGGCATATCCTAGCATCAACACTGATACAGTGGTCCATTTCATGCATCAACCTACCATAACATTAGGGCCCGGTATTCAACTATTATGTAAATCATTTTCCGTTTTTTTTTTTTTTTAACAGAAACATCACCTAGGCAACCCTACTCTAGCATTGTTTATAAGAGTGTGGCTTTGTCTTAGTGTAACTCACTGTATCTAGTGGCGTAGGGTATTGCTATGGGGAGGGGTGACTAATGGGGATAATGGATTAAGTGGGACGCCGATATGATGTCTAACCATTTGCGGCACTAGCTGGCTCGAGGGCATGTCATTCTGTTGAAGACACTGCTTTGAAAACTTATTTATATGTGTTAAAGTGCCATTTACAGGAATCTAGAGGTATCTATGTTAAAAATGTGCTCACCTCAACCCCAACCATGGGGAGTGGATATTTTTGTAGGGGAGCCTGAACAGTGGCGGCTCTAGGATATATTTTCTGGGGGGGCTAAGTTGTCCGACAGGGGGGACTTGAGCAATAGGTTTGAGCTGGGAGAAGGGGTTGAGAGGGGTTCCCCCTCCCAAATGAGATTTTTTAAAAAGAATATCAACCTCTAAATGGCCGAAAATGGCACTCTCAGACTGTGACAGACATGTGTTGGCTTGGTGTGGGCCTATTTTTATTAGTTTTTTGGTCTGACTGCCCAACGAGCTCTGTCCGGGGGAGGGGGGCCTTGACCTGTCCGGTGGGGGGCTTAAGCCCCCCTGCCACCCCGCTGGCGCCGCCACTGAGCCTGAGAACTGAAGTTCTAAAATAAAATGGAGAAGAAAATCATATTTAAATTTAAGTCTGAGAATGCTATTTCCGGCCATCTAGAGGTGCCAAAATCATTGATTTTCTTACCTCAGCCCTAACAATGTTGGGGCTGAGGTGGTATTTCCTCCCTGTTTCCTCTTCTATTTCAAATCACCGTTATAAAAGAAAATGGGTGGGGCTGACAGAAAAAATGGAAGCACGCAATTTATGTCGGCCCGAAGGTAGTTTAACAGATTGGAACTGGCCATCAGCTTAAAAAGGTTGAATACCCAGGCATTAGTGTTAGTAGCCACTCGCTTTCCAGTCGTGGATCCAGGAATTCAAAATGGAGGTGGGGGGACATGGTTAGGTGGCCAGAAATGGCACTTTTACACTTAAATTTAAATAATCTTCTATTGTTCTCCATTTAAATAATTTTGCCAATTATTTTTTTTTTTTTTGGTGCGGGGAGGTTTTAGACTTGGCTGCTTTTACCCCATTTGAATCTGCCACTGCTTTAATAAAAAAAAATAAGCAAACTATACAGAAATTTTCATTCTAAACGGGGTTATAAACACAATGTTGAACCCTATTTCACTAACAAAAAAAAATTAACGAAAGTGAGCTAAACTGTAAACAAATTTCAAATTTTTGTTTCATAACAATGAAACTTTCCAAGCTTAAAGTACATACACCCCTGCATTAATATACTGAACCCTTCCCTCTTGTGCAAAACCATTATTTTCACTTCCACTCAATCATAAACTATAGTAGTGCATTGTAATGTTGTCCTTCAACATAATATTCCTCGAACAGATTTATATCCACTGTTATTATTTTTTAAATAGATTTTCTTCACAATTGATTTTAACATAAATTTTTTATGCATGGCATACCAATGCCAGTTTTGTGTTTACTTTGTAATAAACCACATGATTATGTGCATTTATAGTAAAAATTTCGCAAAGTTAAATTTGCATGCATATAGAGTACCACAGTCGTGTTGTCCCGACGCCAGGTGGCGCTCTCTGTTGTCAACACTACAGACGTAGGTTACCGTTCATTACGCCTGAATGACTGCATAGGCTTTGTGGAATAGGCATTTTAAGATCTAATAATTTACCATCAAAATGTACTAAAAACACAAAAGCTTGCATTATATTAGTTATCAAACACACATTTAATCATCAATTAAAATTTACAAAGAAAGAGTATGATACAACATCTTAATAAATACATTAGAAATAGGAATTAATTGTTTGTTAGTGGCGAAAATGGCGTTGGGTTGACTGCATGTCGTTACGTAACACTATAGTACTCTATAATATATAATGTACTGTTATGTTAAGAATAATATATCCCAATAGCGTATCCAGGAATTTGAAATAGAGGGGGACAAAAGAGGGAATCTTACAGATGGAGGGAATAGATAACTTGAGACCCACCATGGGTTGGGGCTGAAGCACAAATTATTTTAGCTATGGCACCTCAACTGTAGATGGTTGAAACTGGCACTCTCATAAATTTGAATTGATTTTTTCTCCATTTATTTAATTTAGATAAAAAATAAGGGGCCTGGGCCAGCTGCTGGACCGCCGCTTGCCACCCCATCTTTTAATCCAAATATGTATTTTACATAGGCATGAATTGCCTATACATTTCATACCCTTTTATATACTGGAAAACAATATTGATATTAAAAAAATCAACATACTTTTCTCCAAAGAGGAGTGGACTAGACTTGAAACATAATAATCAAGAATTTGGCAACTAAACCAACAAAAAGATTTTTAAACATAATTACGAATTAATAATTTTATATGAACATTAAGTCATTTGAAGTTGATTATACTTGGTATCATAACTTTATTTCCTTGAGTCAATAAGTAACAATTTGAATTATATTTTTGACTCATTGTTTTATAATTTCATGAACACTAACAGGAAGGTCCTTATAGAGCGTTGACTCTAGCATCATCAAGGGCTTTTCCTTGAGGTTAAACACAATTGAATCAAATACATTATATAAATTGAATTGAATAAATTTTCTAAGATTCAATTAAATAAGGTTTTGAAAAGTCATTTGACTTATTGTTTTATGAGTTATACGAATATCTAAAGTAAGGTCATTCATGAGTGTTAATGTTGTATTGAATTATTTTTCCTTGAAAAAGGACAAATGAACCACATAAAATATACTAAATAAGGTTTTGAAATGTAATGTAAGTGATTATTTTATTATTTATATGAACATCTACTGGATGGTCTTCTAGAGTGTTAA